TATTGAGGAGGATATGGGTAATTTGGAAAGTGAGTGTTCTTTGGAGGCATTTGAATGGAGCTTGGTTGATTTTGAGAAGTGGGGTAAGTTGGTGGAGGATGAGAAATAGAGTGAGTGAGTGGAGGATTATCTTGGAGAGTGGCTTGACTTGTGACAGGACGGTTTATCTATGTTTGTCTCCAGAGTGGGATCGACAGAGAGTAACAACTTCGCCCACCCGCGCATATCAAACACTTCTTCTTCTAGTTCCCTTATTTTCTTTTTCAGGCTTGAAGCCAACTCGTCTGAAGGATGCTTCTTTTCAATAGTCTTACTCATAACCTTCTCATTAGTCGCTTTCCTCTTACCTCTGTGGTTCTCATTTGGAAGAGAAGGGAGAGAATCCTTTGATCACGTATGGTAAACCATGGTCTACAGATCAACCATTGAGGAAGGGTAAAAAATAAAAGTAAAAGCAATAGAAAACCCAAGTTAGAGTGTTGCAAAATTGAGATAACAAGCACATTGATTTAAGATAAAACGCCCTAAATGCAAGGAGCCTTGTTGAGCCAGAGGTAGGCCTAAGACGAAATATAAGTGATGCACAATAATTAATTCAAGCCTTATTTGCCAATTTGGAGTTTAGATTAAAGGAAATAACAAACTTTATTTATTATAAAATTCGAACAATACATCATAACAAAAAAACTGAAATAAACTAAGGGAAAGGGGTAACAAATGGGAAAGTCATCCTAAATTCTGAAAATCTTGAAGATATTGGTTCCAAGAGCTTGGCGCCAATTGACTTCTTGTATAGAGAGTGCCTTCATTCTTGATCTTCAACACGTTGCGTGCCCATATGTTTTCCCTTTCATCAGTGAGCCCATAGTATCCTTCCTCACTCACTTCTCTGTCTTTGACCTCTTTTAGGATCCATATGTAATACTCACGTGTGCATAAGGCCTGTCGTGCACCTATGGGAATGGTTAACACTCGCTCCCATATTTGAAGTATGATGTGGACTTGCAGTTTATCTAGTCCAAATTCATACTTGCAGTGCTCCATGTCAGATCGGAGTGGTATTACTTGAGTTCGCCCAAATTGGCGAAGTACTCGAAGAGGAATGTATGGTTGAACGCCTTTTAAGCCAATGAGCTCAATGAAGTATCGGTCATCGCCTCTTACTATTGCATGAGGGGTGGACAACCAATGGAGCTTCCATTGGATGCGGTAGCTCTCGAGCTCTGTCAAGAATATCTGCCAGTCTATGAATCCTACAGGGACGGTGAAAGCTATCATTCTTCTTGGATGATTGCTAATTTTGTTGCCATAACCCAGAAAGATGTCTACCGCGTCAGACCGTAGGTAGAAGTGTTCAATAGCCCATAATTGCAGCAAAAGGTTGCATCCCTCGAAAAACATTCGACCATCGACGCATGCTGACAGACTCCTCATCATTTCCGCTAAGATCATAGGTACTAGGGTTTTCCTAGGTTCGCCCTCTCTTTGGGCTAAATCTCGAACCACATAACCCAAGCGTGTGTCAATCATTCCCCTTATCTTAGGAAAAACTAGGGATCCTAATAGGGCAATGGCAAAGGCATTTAGACGATATATTTCCCATTCCTCGACAGAGCACTCAAAATCATCAATAAAGGAGTAATAACTATCCACTCGGCCAAAACGTGAATATAGAAAGTCGAAATGAATCCACCCAAGGTCTAAAGAAGGTAAGGTTGGATTTGACTTCATTCCGAGACTTTTGTAAGAACTCCCTTGATGATGGCTTATATGGTACTATCATTTCACACTCGTGGTATGGCATGTCAATGAAACCACTTATCTCTTCAATCGTTGGTGCCAGTCAAAATCCACAAATTTGAAGACCCATCCTCACAGGGTCCCAAAATTCTAGCAAGGCCCTAATCAGGTGAGGGTTTGGTATGACAAAGATGAGGTAGGTAGGTCCGCCCAAGAGTTAACGAACTTCCATTTGGCGCTCCCTCTTAATATCATCCACCAGCTCCTTAGCTTGTAGTTTAAATCTACGACCATTTGCGGGTTTGGGGAGTTGAAAGCATCCATGACTCTGCAAACAAAACAACAAACAACTTCTAAACTCCATTTTTGGCAAAGTTTGGCTTAATTTAATTAACGTGATCACATTGACACATAATTATGCAATTTGTCTAAAGGAGGTTGGGGTCCCTTAGACGATAGGGTGGTTACTAATTATGTGGAATGACGCCAAGGTCAAACCACCTAGGGTTTATGCATCATGTATGATCTAAGTAAGATTTCTAAGAGTTGGCTTGACACGGACTTGAAAGGGATTCTATGCGAGAAGGCTCGTGGTTTCCCGGTAGTAAAACTATCCATTCCGTCCATGCATATGCCGACTCTCTATAATTGGGTGTTTGAAGAAAATTGGAGTAGTTGTGAGAGGTGCAAAGGCACAACATCACGGTAACAAAAAAAGAAAAAAGAAAAAAGGAAGAAGGTCCCAATTGGGGAAAGTATGAGCGGAATGCCAGTTATCAAAGCAGTAACATTTAGCATTTAGGTTAAAAAGGGTAACATATAGACAATTTTAAGGAAAGCAGTAAATAAATAAATAAATACAAAAATAAGCATGCAAACACATAAATAAATCAAGCAAATAAGGAAAGGGAATAAAGTTTAAACATGGAGTACACAAAAAAAAAGGGAAAAAGGGAAAGGGCGAAACATGGGAATAATCAAATAAGGGAGAGGGAAAGGGACTAAACATGGAAATAACAATATTTAAGGAAAGCGAGTAAACAAGGAAAGCAAAAATTAATTAGAATGGGAATAACCAAACAAACAATGAAATGACAGATAAAGTAAACCCCACATAAGCACGAAACACGTAATGGTTAGAACCTAATATCCCCAGCGGAGTCGCCATTCTGTCCCGCCCCGTTTTTCTCAAAACGGCCATTCCTTTCGGATGCACGACCTAACAACTCTTTTGGGTTTTGGAGCAATTGAAGAGTTGCCAGCTAACGAATTAAGGCGCGTTAGGACACCTATCTAACCTAGCTAAGTCTTACTAGGGTCAACGAACCAGAGATCAGGGTAAGGGTTCAAATTACCTCGAGGAAAGGTGTTAGGCATCCCTCGAGGTCCACAAATGTGGGTCCCGGTCGTATCTTATGCAATTTATGTGGGGGTTACAAGTAGCATTTAAGATCACTTCATTTGTTATTTATTTAATTAGCATGGTTACTAAGTGATAACTATAATTAAACAATTAGGATTAATTAAATTATCTACTCTATGAATTAAGCATGAAAGATTAGGTGATGTAATAAGCAAAAAAATAAATATTTAAACAATTAATAAAAGAGGAGCGAGGAGACAGAAATTGTACATATTAATAAGCAAATAATTTATTTTTATTTTTATTTAAGCTACCCCAAATAATTATAAACAGATAAAGGGGGGCAAAAAGAAAGGGAGACTCTGAAGGACTTTAGGATCAGCACTCGACTTTCTTTATTTATCTCCATAGGGCCTAAACTACCCCTACCCCACCACCGCATGCTTTTCGTCTCTAAGAGGTGTCTATCGTCCCGACTTAAGGTCCAAGAAGCATTGAACTACTATTACGAAGGGTTTGGACTGAAGTAAACTCCTAATAGACCCGCCTAGACACCAAGTCAAACAATTTGGACGAGCATTTAGCACATAAGTCTCATATTGGCCTCTAGATTTTAATTCACATGCTGGCAAACACAAGTAGAGTGAAAAGGACGCATGTTAAGTGTGTGCGCATGAACAAGCATTATAACAAAAACAATTATTTAATTGAGAAGGGGCAGAAAATTACCAAGTGCAGGAAAAGTATTAACTGATTTAAAAGAGTGGCATAACAATGATTAGGATGCGGGAAACAGTTTAAGCAATAGCAGATTTAAAGTCTTTAGATGAGCCAGTGGCAGAATGACATTAATTAATATGCAGCAATTGATTTATTTTAAGTGGCAAAACAGTGCAGAGATTAGTTTGAACAAGATTTAATCGGGACAACAAGTAGCAGATGCAGAAAATTAATTTTAGTAGCTGATTTTCAGTAGTAAAACAGAGCAGAACCTAATTGGTTTGAGCCAGATTCGATCTAGACAGCAGATAATAATTTTAAAACAGAATTTCTCTCTTTTTTGTTTAATATGGTGATTAACATCTCAACTTATTAATTATGTCCTATAGGCATGATTTCAAAGTGTGAATATGCTGAAAATGTTATCAAACCCATAAGCACGATGTCTGTTTCATTTAAACAAATTGTTAACCATATAGGCATGATATTTATCTAATATGTAACACAGGTTAAACCTATATGCATGATTTCTAAGCTCAAAACATACTGAAAATTATTTAGATCCTATAGGCATGCTTTCTACCTTTATTTTACTTATGCTTATATTTTATATATACAAGGAAACAAATGTCATTAATAAATAGGCAGAATATATTCAAAACAAATTCGCTTTAGTTATTTAACATGCTGAAAGAATGACTTTAACAAGTTGTTCTATTGAATATATTATTTAGATCCTATAAGCATAATTTCCTAGTGAATATGCTAAAATTTATTAATGGAGCCTATATTAACAAATAACACATATGACAAATTAACATAAAAGTTCAGATTTTAATCCTTTTAAATTTGTTAGCATGCTAAAAAGGTTTGTTAAGCAAATGAAACTAAGATCTGGATATACTAGTTATTGAACTCTTACTAATTCAAGTTAATTAATTAAGAGACTATCAATTGTTATAATGCGACATACCTAAAAGCATTACAAATTTGTTAATTTTTAAAAAAAAATATACAAACACAAATAAACAATTGATTTTAAGTTGGATTATTTAAGGGATTCCGACATAATTATAATATATGCGTAGCAATCACACATAACAAGAATGAACTAAACTAAAAATGGAAATAGACAATTAGCACGTATATCCACCTCCCCTTAGGCGATCCCCAAGTTATATCACATATATAGAGTTAGAGTTTACAAATTATTACAAAACAATAAAAGAATAAATAATATACAAAAGATAAATTAAATCAATTCGTCTATTGCACTGCCATGGCGACTCTTCATGTCTTGAACCTTTAAGTTCAAACCCTGTTAAACAAAGCAACAATACAACCCAAGTAATATACAACACATGTAATAACAATTATTTTTTATGAACTAAAACAGAATAGAACATACGTATTACTTCAAGCCATATATTGCACATATGAAATCATACACATATAAAGGGGAGAGGAGAACTGACCCGAACACTTCCTTTATTTATTTCAATCATACAATATCCATAATAGATGATGCAAGCGAAATTTAAACTAATGAAAAAGAGAACTAACCGATTATGCAGATTTATTAATCAGCAATGAAGATCAAACTTATTCCGACACTAGACCCGAACACAGCAAAACCAAATAGAGAAGCTTCTTAGAATATTCACCCCATTTTAAATCTTTAGAATAGAGGGTACTTTATGCCTTTTGTTAGAATATGTCAACAGGAGTGACCGGGTCCTCTATGTGTGCGTGAAAAGGTTATTTATAGTGGAGAAGAGGGCATATAATATAAGGAAAGGAATAATTTAGAATCAATTAAATATTATTTTTTCCTTATTCAAAGAATACCAAATCATTAACATTGTGTTTTAGCTCCATCGAAACTTAACTAAAATATTGCAAGTAATGGACAAATCATCCTTAATTATGGCAACTACAATCAATTAACATTAATAATAAAAAATAATAAAGCCAATTTTACCATTACCAAGAGCCAAAATCTTCAAATAAAAACCAACTTAGCATAAATTAATCCACAACATGCAAAATCAAAATGATCATATTAAGGAAAAAAAGCATAAGTCAAGCAATAATATTTTACCGTAATTATTAAACAAGCAAGAAATTAGACAAGAATTATATATGGCCTAAAAGAAATCAATTTACAACATGAAATATGCATACTTGATTAAAATTTTTTTCTCCTTGATACGGATTAATCAAATCAACAAATCAATGGATTATTATCAATTTAGACTTACCATGCTATAAGCTAAAATCATGTAAATGAAAAGAATAACATTCATAACATAAGCAGGGAAAGGTTTGGAACAAGATTTCAACATTATCAAATTTAGCAACTCTAATGGTAATATTATTCATATGATTAGAGAGACACAAACTAGTAGCATGTTCAAGATGAAATTCATAGCATTTACTAGCTTTAACATAGAGTAGACATATGAATCAAGATTAAGAACTCTATAATCAAATCTAAATAACTAGATAATAAATCGAACAAGAGAGCGAACCTGGATGGATCTGATAAGACCCAATATTTTTTAACAAATCAAAACTCAAAGCTTTTCCTCTAAACCTGCCCTGTCTAGCGGTGCAATAGCTGCTGACCGGAATTCTCGCCTTGAGCTGCTGCTGCTGGTTCTGTTGCTCGCCGGAGAAAGAAAAAAGGGCCGGAGTGGGAGCTGGCTTTCGCTGGCTGCTGCTGTCTGCCACGCCTGGCTGTGGTCACCGGAGCTGCTGGTGCCGGTGGAGGAGGTGTTCGCTGCTGCTGCTGGTGGTTGCTGGCTTCCTCCTCCTCGCTGCTGCTGGTTGCTACGCTGGCTGCTCACTGGAGTTGCTGTCCAGCTTCCTTCGCCTGAAAAGGAGGAGAAGAAGAGATAGGGGCAAGGGGAGATAAATGAGAAAGTGCGAAGGGAGAGAGAGGGCGCCGGAGAGGGAGACGGGGAGGAGGAGAGGCGACTGCCTCCAGTGGCTTTCGCCGGAAAAAAATATGGTGGGGAGAGAGGGTGGCGGCTGCCCGGAGAGGAGAGGAAGAGATGAATTTTTTTTGAGGGGCTTGGTCTTTCTAGGTTAAATTGGAAGGTTTTGGGGGATTTAATCCAAAACGTTGATTCATGTTAAGATGAGGGGTTGAGATTTAAAGGATGATATCAATGGCTATGATTAAAAGATGAGGTTGGGTTGAATATATTAAATTGAAATAAATTGGCTATAATTGCAAAGGACAGAAGGGGCTTGAATTGCAATTAAATTAGAATAAGAGGCTAAAATCGAAATGAATTGAAATAGCAAGAGTGGCTACAGATTAAATAAATTGGAATGGATTAGGCTAAGCTTTAAATGATTTAGAGCAAATTTAAGAAAATGCTAACCAAATAAAATACTACACGTTATAATATTTTTATATAATTAAAATCCCTTTTAAATTTTAAAATATTTGAATAAAATAATTACTTTCAGTTTAACTATCGATAAATATAATAATAAAATAATTACAATAAATTTTTTATAAATCAAGCTTACTAAAATATATAATTTTTTAGGCAAAATTGACTAAAATTTTAAGCTCAAAATATTTTCAAAAGTATGTATTTAATCGAATAGCATTCCTAAAATTGCTGAAGGTCGGTCAAAATTGGGTGTCAACATAATGTTTATTTCTCTTATGTATGAGTATTGTGTAAGGATTGAATGGTTGAATGGTAAGTTCACTTTTGGTGACCTTAATGTGGTACCTTGGTGTGGATGGTGGTATGGGACGCTATCCATACATTGCACAAGGTATAGCTTGAGGGTTACTTGAGGTGAAGGCTTAAGGTGAAGGTAAAGGTTCATATGTGGATTATGTTCTAATGTGAAAATATGACTTGTATGTGGGTTCTGACTTATATTATGCCTCTTTTATCAATGTTCATGAAGTTTTACCAAAATGGCATATGTCATGACTTTCAAACAAAAATGTCCATTTTAAGCATGTTTTTGCATGGCTATCATACTTAGTACTTTATGTGCTAACCCATTCTTCTATGTTTTTACTACAAGTGTAGGTTCCGGCAAGTGATTTGCATTGTTCTAGTGAAGCTTGGATTAGAGTTCTCCAAGACATTTTGGGTATGTCCTCATAGATCGAGGACAAGTGTTTAGAAGTTTCTTTCCTTTTCATGTAATAGACTACTTTAGATTTCTATTGGAAAGGGTCGTGTCCCTATTTTTGTTCAAGATTGTGTCTAAGATGGCCATGTGAGGTATAGACTTCCGGTTGCGTTTAAATGTTTTTGAATGTTAGATTGTATGGCTTTAAATAAAAAGTTTTAAATTCCGTACTAGTTCTATTACTTATGCAATGAATGAGCTATGAGGTTTGTATAAGACCCCTTCGGGGTCGAGTACGCCTTGTCGCATCCGGGGTCTAGACTCGGGTCGTGACAAAATAATAGATTTTCATCTATAAATTTCCAATATATATGGATGAAGCTACATCTTTTAGTATTGAGATTATCCAAATAGTTTCAACCACTGATGATAATGTACGTCATATAGTTGATTCTGACGATGAAGATTTTATTCAAAATAGATCTAAACAAAGAAACAATCCATTATTCATGAAGAATCTGACATTGGAGAAGTCGAAGAAGGATGCATGCTCGAGTTCTAAATCTACCGTTGAAAAAACGCTCAAAAAAAGAAGGAAAAAAGTTGGATCTATCATTACATGACCATCACTACCAAAGATACTAATTTTCAATGTATTTCGTTTATTTTTTTATTCTTAAATTAGTCTTTGTTAGTGTTATTACTCATCCGATACATTGCTGCTATATTAGTTTTTGTTTTATATAATGTATCATGTTCATATTTAAGGTATTGATACATAACTCTAATGTTGAATCTTCTATTAGTGTTTATCATATTCAATATAAATGTACTTGATACATAAATACTACTTAATGTATCATTTATATATATATATATATATATATATAAATCACTAGAGTTGTCAAAAAGGGCTAACCCAGACCCACCAGGACCAAGCCTCGCGGGCCAAGGAATTTGATGGGCTAGGGCGGGGCAACCCTTCATTTGGAAGGGCCTGAAAATACTTAAACCCAAACCCAACCTTAGAAGGGTCGAGGGCTGGGGCGGGCTAGCCCTTTTTTTTTTTCTTTTTTCATATTTTTTCTTTTCAAAAATAAAATTCTATAACATCAAGAAATGAGAAGCTTTTCAAATAAAATATGACAAACAATGGTGTTGTTTCAATAAAACTAGTAAAATTCTAGTGTGATTATCCTAGATATGTGAGTGAGATAAGAGAGTGACGAGTGAGATGAGAGGGAGGTGAGGGCGCAAAATTTGTCTATGTATTCTAGATACATATGAATCTACTTGGATAGATTGTATCTAGAACAAATTCACCTAATTTTGAGTTTATATATCCTGAGATACATGCATCTGGATGTACCAATATCTGGTACGATTCATAATATTACAACATAGTGTGCATTTAAGTAATTAACTTATATACTAGTGAGATTGTTGTAAGTTACCCTTATATAAATAGTTTTGGCCCATGGGCCGACCCCGACCCTAATCAAGCCTCTAGGGCCAAGGGCTTATATCGATCGGGTTCATAAGCCCTAGTTTTGAATGAGCTTGAAAAATCCTATCCCAAACTACCCCAATAATAGGTTGGGTTGGGCCGGCCCTATAGACTAAGCCATTTTGACGACTCTATAAATCATAATGTTCTATAACTGGAGCACTATGTATTAGATCCAACAATAGGTATATAATACATATTAGTGACAATCTTTTACTACCAGGTATATACACCAAAATTATTCAACTAGAAGGCTACCCAATAAATATATATGATACATAAACCCTAATGTTCTATAGCTAAAACACTATGTATCAAATTGATTGATATGTGCATGATACATGATATATTTCAAATTTAATAGTTTTCAAGCTCTATTACATGTATCATAAACATATCAACTGATGACCACTGTATTATGTATCACACATAGAAGAAATGATATTTGGAGTAATTACATGTATAATGTATCTTTCTAAACTACAGTATTGCTCAAACAAAATGAGATACATAAATAGTAATTTATTATGCACTAATTTTTTAGTGCATAATACATAGCAATTACCACAAAGACATGTATCCATCAAAGTTATGTATCTCTTCAGTCTTTTTGTAAGTTGTATCAATGCATAGCGGATACATTGAAAATCCAGGCTCTTGTTTCTTCACCTGTTGAAAGCCTAGCTCATCCTCATCCATCCTAGTTAGATGTTCTAGCTCTGTACCATCCAGATGTTACCGACCTGACCATCCATCTATCATTGTAATTAGAAGAAACTGGTCCATCCAACATCTCTGACCGGACTCCGGGATCCTTGTAAATTAAGTTAAGGCAAGTATGAGTTCAACCCTTTTCTCATCGGGCCAGGATCATAGAGTTCAATTCCCCTTCTCCAGATTTACCCGTTGATGTCGCGACCCAGGGGTACCCCCTAGATGTGACACGGTGTACAAGACTCCGAAAAGCCTCATACAAGCCTCTTAGCATATCATAACATAAGATAATAGAAAATGGTGCGGAAATTTAAAACATTTTCCCAATACAATCAAAGTCTCATAAAACAAAGCGGAAGTCTTACACTTGTCTCAAACCATCTAATACTTGAAAAGAGTTAGGGACATAGCCCATATAAAAGTCTAAACATAAAGAAAAACATAAAAGGAAAGGTGATCAAGTCCTAGATGCTATGAGGACTCACCAAGTCTTCACTTGCTTGCTTCTACTATGATCATAGCCACGAGAATGGAAGTCAATATCGCTGGACCCTACATTTGATAAGAATGTAGGCAAGAGTATATGTTAGTACAATAATGTACTAGATATGATGGCTAGCATAAATCATCAACATAAGCATAATGTAGGCATTAGTCAACATAAGACATATATCATAATCATAAGAGACAATAACATAAGTCATAAGTATAAGAGATGTCATCATAAGACATAGGCTGTAAGTATAAGGGATAACAATATGGTCATAGGCATAATCAATGCCTCTACATCAACATAATATAAGAGAAACACCTCATAAGTAACCTTAAAGCATGCTGTGCAATGCATGGATAAGACCCCGTAAATCTCACCCATACTAAGCAAACCAAGTTAGGACCTCACTCATATTCATCATCTTTTGATCTCATCCTTTAGCTTAGTTATCATAGACAAGGGAACATTCACCTTTAGCCACACATATCAAGGAAAACAACTATAGCGACGACCCAAGCTAAGCATACATCAAACAAGTAAACCTCATATCAAAACATACTAACAATATTTCTTTGAAGTTACCTTAGTTCATTATTAGACTTGACATTGTGGGAATTAGCCTTAACCGACATAGAGACCATGTGAGCTAAAACATGATCCCCCGGTGTTACCCATACCAAAAAGGGTTGTCCTACTTGCCTAAGGAAGAACCATGATTTAGCTTAGGTAGATCCATTAGCTAAGTAACCTACGGGGGCACGTAGTTTATGGGATACGAAGATTGCTACTAGAAACCTGGACTCAACTGACGTAGAAGGTCTCCATCTCATGAGATATATGTACTTGGGAACCCGGATTCAACTAGCGTAAAAGGATCCCATTTGGAAGCCGAACTCAACTAGCGTAAAAGCTTCCATCTCATATTCAATATCCACTCGTTAAGTCCTACTTGACTCATGCTTCATGGAAGGATGTCCTTGACAACCAATCCAAGTTAGTTCATTAGGATAGCTCTTGGATCATGGGTGAGAAAACTTTTCACATCATGTCCTCATGTAAGTATTAGATTCAATTAGGTGAGAAAGCCTTTCAGCCTAGAATCTTCATTATGTGAGGAAACCTTTCACATCATGTTCATTATGAGTTCATGAGAATATCCTTTCAATCAGCCCACAATAACAACATGTTTATTAGCACTTGACTCTCAAAGTGTACTCATAGCATTTACATAGATTTCATGGAAAC